TGGTAGTTATTTAGTCTGTTAATGCTGTGTTCTATTTATTTCCCTAGTTATGGGTATTTATATCAAATATTAGGAACTCTTGGGCAGTGGTTCCCACTGGGCGCGTTCCAGTTGTTATTGTTCCTAGTAACAAGATTGGAGCAGTGAGCTATGCTATGGGTTCATTCCTAGCTACCTGTGACACTTCTGGTCAAATCAGTAAATTTGGAGCAATGAGTTGCGAGTTCGAGACAGCAAAAAGCTGTGAACATTCTGCGATGTTAAGAATCGGCGAAAACCTTTAATGGCCTAAGCAACGCTGACACCGCTATACTATATGCTAATAAATTCCCAACTCGCTTTCAGCCAAATTTGTAATGTATAGTCACTCCCTGCTATGATTTCAACGTCAGTTTTCTCTTTGGTCACAATTTAGAAAACGTGAAAGTGTTCGAGCAGAAACTAAGTAGAATTGTGACGTGCATCCCGACGCAATCTGTAGGTTGTTGCTTCTGGGATTCCGCTCACAGAGCCTATTATATAAGAAATGTGGTGGCTGAGGCGACATATTTTCTAGCAGAAAAGCTTTGTCTGTGAGAAGACAGAAGTATCTATCGAGGTGGTAACTTTGTAAGCGATTTCATGAGAAGAATGAGAAGAAGTCGTGCAGAGACCGAAGACGCGAGTGTCATAACACTAGCTCTAGCAATAGGCATTAGCTAAATTTGGGTCGTGTAATGATTTTTGTGGATGTCAATCATGATTGGTTATCCCTGAATTTGAACTATACTCCAGGTGACAAATGAGGGAAATTGAAATGCTTGCACCCTAAATTGCATTACACCGAAAGTACGAAACGAAACGGTTAATACTCTAAATTATTCGGAATAAGTTATGGCCTTCGAAACTTTGGATAGTGTTATTTAAAAGACAAATTTAATAGTTATTTCATCCTGGAAAAACTCGGTATTTCGGAATAATTTTAACTCAGGATAATAATACAAATTAGGCTGTCGTTTGAGTTGCTTTTGGCCCATAATTCATGGTGATGCTCCGGTATGCAATTGTTCTTTGTACGCATATGAACTCACTGAATTGTTGTCTTTTTTCTGTTAAGTGTATCAGTGTATCACTATGATGACTCGTGGTGAGGTCGGGAGAATTATTGGGAATTCATAATGGGCCTAATAGGCGTACATGCGACGTTCAGAACTAAGAGTAAGAAACGTTATGTTGACTAGTGATGCGCATTGACGAAACGCATGAATTTTTTTTGCTCCTATTGTATTTCTCGATGCCATATCAACTCGATATTAACAAAAATTAGATGAAATTTCATGTTGTATTATCAGGTTGATGGTAAAATATTTTGTTTGTTGCTGCTCGTGGCTGAAAGTGCGTTACTAGGATACGTGGATGTCTCCATGTTCAGAGCGACAGGTTTTCCTTGTGATGGCACTCACGATAACATTAGAGTTTGAGATTATGCTCGCCTCAATTGTATATTTATCTTACGGTTCATCGATTTGCTTACGCAGATACATAGAAATACCTTTAAATAAATTCTCCAATATTTACGCACACTGTCAATAAAACTTCATAGTAAATGCAACCCCTCAAAACACGAGCTCTTTTTTAGCTTCGATACAATTTCTGGGTAATCATTTTTTGTTGATGTTTTCCCCGATAGCATTTAGTTTTGAGGGCGCCTGTGCTGAGCCACACGAAGAGAAAACGCTTCAACGTAGACCGTTTCTTGTTCAGCGGGACAAGACAACATTGTTAGCTGAGTAGATATAGTTCAGTTCTCCGTAGTCTATTCCAACGTTTTATTCAGAGCTCAGCTATCTTGATTTCGGGAAGATGTCTTATGCTTTTTTAGGGTATTTCTAGGACAGCGCACGGGGCTATCAATAAAAAATATTGCAGTACGGAAGTGGCAGGTAAATAAATATTCTAGTACATACTCAGTGGCAGTACCTGATATACGCATGTGCCGTACAAAGTATCATCCTAATATAAATACTTGTGTTCCTTAAACAATCAATGTCGTAGATCAATGAAGATGTCATCCACAAGAGAAGCGGTTGTAGCCCATCCAGATATTGCACATGCCGGTCGATACGCCATCTACTCACACAGCTTCCCGTCTAATTTAGCCTTCGTTCGTGTGCTGATGAGGCTTACATTGATTGCGTGGTCGATAATGCGAGAGAGCTCCTTGTGTCATAAACATCTCACCGCTACACAGGCCGCTGCCGAGCTACACAAATGCTCTTCATTGGGTCTCATTACGCCATCCGCTGCTCCGATTTATTGCCCAGACTTTCTTAAGGGCTTTTGCAGGCTCCTTTGTTTTAGGTATCGTGTTTGTGAATGTAATATGTCGATGAGTCATGGTATGTCAGCCAGACTTAATTTAAATATTGGCGGCCCGTGATTTGATGCAGACGAGGTTTTTGCAGTGTTGGCTTTCTTATAAAGAATGCATTTCTCTGTTCAGTATACCAACTCTAAATGTCGGATGAATAACAAGTCTGATTTTTATGACGTTTGCTTCTTTTGATGAAAATAATGGCAGCTGTTGTCTTGTTAAAAGAAGGAAATTTTGTGACCAGTTTTGAGGTTGAATCGAAGAGCATTATATACCAAATTGCTCCTGCATAATTGGGCTCTATCCGCCGTACGCATTGCGTACACTTTGTTCATATACGGAATTATCTGTACGTTATTCATACGTTGCTTAAACGCACCATTTGTTCAGTCATATTTGCCCCCATGTCACGCATCCAGCACAAGTTGGTCTCACGAGTCCCCCTGCGAAGTTATTGTTGATGAATAATGTCAGTACAGGTAATATGGGCATTCTCTTTATTTCGTGATGCTAGACTAATTTGTTTGCATTACTCTGTTATAACCCTTTGTCTACAAGCGGTAACTCTCGTTACCAGGCCTAGTGACGCGAAAAGCATTGCCTATTGTTTATTTCATCTCGAGACAAAGGGTTATTAAGATTACACACAAAGAATTGTCTGGCAGCTGTTGACTGATTTTCAACAGTGAGCAGTCACTGCATGTTGTTGCAGATGACGCTGAATGTGTACAACGAAGTATCTTGGGCTAACAATAACGGGGAATATTTTGGACCAGATAGCGGGATTAACCTGCTGCATCGGATCAACATGTTAGTGTGGGTTAACTTGCCGAACTAATTACATTCGAATCGGGGTTAAATTTCAATCAGGTAAATTTTATACTCCCGCGGTTAACTTGGTGCAGCGGGTTAACCTGTTGCGCCGTGCTAAGCTGCTCCCCGAATGTTTCACTGGGTTAACATGTTACTAGTGTTATAATTCCGAATAATTTACCGGCACTATTTAATATAATTTCGAAAGTCGCTCTGGCTAAATATTGCTATTATTTTTTGAAATTGTACGGGGAGCGCGAATGAATGTTTCGAGTAGGTGAGATGGAAGAAGAGAGTGTGAGAAGCAGAGTTTGGGTGGCAGTGTGCAGGTGTTGTCTCAATGGCAGTTGTGAATAAAGCAGTTAGGCCTCCATAAAAGCTGTGAACAACTTCTGCCTTGTAAATCGCGCGTGTTCCAGCTGCGTGCTGAGCTCCCGGGCCACACTTGTGTGTCGACCCAGCCTCATGTGTTGCACCAACAGCACATATGATGTTGCTCTGCCGTCCTGTATGCGCTGCGATGCTAACAGTTGGTCCCTAAGTTATTCGCTGACACCGGGTCTGCCGTCCTGACACTTGCTCTATCATGCTGACACTCCGCCACGCTGAAGTTTGCTCTGTAATGCTGATAGATGGTCCTCAAGTTATTTTTCTTGTAATTTTTCATTGTAACGAAGAACATTTTTGATTTTGCTGCAAGCCGCACGATTTATAATGAGTCAAACCAGATCTTGTATTCACGTCGTAATGACATAGAAAGTATTTAGCGTGTCACCGAATCCTGCGTTTAGTCATTAAAATTTCCGTGTCTTGCCCTAAATAAGCTGCGTACAAGATGCTCTTCATTTTCCTACAATGAGGGAAAACTTGGTTTTCAATACAGAAGGAAATACGTTTCCAATGCGGAGGGAAATGAGTTATTGCTGGTACAAACATGTGGGGGCGAGCCACAGCTGCGCTGTAGTGCCACAGCACTGCACCGGTGTCAAGAACATGCAGCTGCGAGGCGCACTCATGCGGACGTTGCGTGTTCTCCATGTGAGGCCAATAACAGCGATGAGGCTGAGGCCATCATCTGTATCAGTGTGTAGGAATAAGAGGCACGTCCAGTAACTGTGATGATGTCTCCAGCAATACATGGCTGCAACATCACCAGCCGTCTAAACAACATGCTGGCTTCACAGGCCTCTCAAAATCGCAACGCAACCGAACTTTTTGCACTACTTGCCTCTATTATAAAACAAACCACAAATACCGCATGCCTTCCACTACACATATACCACCACCTGCTTACATTTAAGTACCACCAGCACCACCTGCACCACCAGCACCACCAGCTTTACCAGCATCACCATCATCACCTGCACTACCACCTGCACCACCACCTGCACCACCTGCCAAGTTCGTCGCGCCATGAGATGAACGATCGAACACCTGAGCCTCCATACGGGCTCCTGTGCTGCATTCAGTGTTGCTATAACGCTGCTGCAATCAATGAGGCTTCCCATGCTACAGGAAAAATACGTTAAAACAACGTGTATTTAACGATGATTCAAACTAACAACGTTTAATTCAATGTCAACGTTGTGTTGGCTACAGCACGCTGCATCATGGCTGTGCTGGCATACAGCACGCTGCATCATGGCTATGGTGGCATACACCGATTTACGTAATGGTTTTGGTTTTATATCGCGCTTATATTCTAAAATAGATTCTTTAATGTAATTTCATGAGGCAAATCCAAGATGTATACATTAATTTCATTGTATAAAATCTTCAACGCAATTTACCCTACGTTCCAGCTAGTGGCCTTATTATTGCTGCAGTGCTTCCATGCTGATTGGTTCTTACCTCCTCTTGGAACAGACGAAGTTTCTACCGAGTGTGAAAGACAAAAATGTTCAATTGAAAGAACATTGTTTATTGGACCCGCTGTCAAGCAAAAATGTAAATACGATTATGTTCATTTGAAATAAGAACATTGTTCATTCGAGTCAATATCCAGAATAGACATTTGTTCAACACATTGAAGTTCTATGATATCAACAACACCGTACGCGAGCACCATGAGAGCGCCGTACTCGTGTTAGCGTCTGGACTATCCAGTCCGCAGTACCGGCTTGTCATCAACGCTCCGGTCTTCAGTAACCATGAGCTCCTCCGAAGCTTCCACTCCCCCTCCGCTCTCGCGGTCCAAGTAAGTTGAACTTCGGACACTTGTTTAGCGATTCATGAAAACCATAGACACTTGAATTTCTCCTACCTCACGTTTTCAGCTTAATTTGGTTCTGTTAACACTACTTGCTGGCTTCAGAATAACTTAAAAACATTTGAAAGGCTCAGAACGTTGGCTTTTTTATCATAGTTTTATGGCGTAAACGATTAGAATTTCTAATCGAAGCTAAACGTATGTAACTCAACTCTCGAGTTCACAACCCCTGCGTCGTTTGAGTCTGTCAGACAAAATTATAATCGATTATTTATGAAGCTCTAACCTCTGATGTCGTGGCCGGCCAAATACGTCTTATCCAGGATAATGTCTGGTAGAGCAGGAGTGTTCTAAGGTGATCGCATGCAGCATGAATAATGGGTTAGCTGAACCACTAAACTCATTGTGTCTTATCAGGTATTAGCATAATTTATGGCTTTTCTGCCTCCTACAGTTATTAAGCCTTTTGAAGCGGAGGTAAAGTTACTCAACGTTGTTTGTCGAGCTCAGAATTACCAATGATTGTACGTAATCGAAGCATAATGGAGTGACGGTGACTTTATATGCCTTTGGTCAGAACGAATCTTGGTATACGAGTCCAACGCAAAAGTTTTAATATTAAGCATTATTGACGAGGCATTTATATACACTTACGATGCTGATGCGACGAGCCGAATGTATGTACTAATGTACCAAGGCCCACTGGTATATGTTGTCGTGCGGTCAACGCTGCATTCTTTTCCTAACAGTAGCCGCAACTTTTGCTAATGCGAATTTATGCTTAATTACAAACCATTGCTGGACCGAACCAACGCTAGCGCGACTCATCGCAGGCAGCAACGAACTCGTAATACTAAACAACCAACGCTATATATACCGCGAGGCGACGTAACTGGTGAGCGTTATTTTGAAGCGGGCTACTGCGTGACGTTGCATACCGGTCACGTCATTACAAGTTTATCTCTTCGTCACAGCTTGTCGCATGAAGTAGACATAGGTTATCAGGTGAGAAGTGAACTTTTCATGAAAAAAATCCAGAGCGCTCTATGCTTTGCGTGGTTGATCTTCACTATACTGTCTTCACTTTACAGCTATAACGCACGCAGTCTTCGTGTGCATCTCTGTACTTGCGCTATAAGACGAAGGTTTGTGTGCATTGGCTTAGATGGTCTATCTTTTGCCTAGGCCTGCAGTGACATGTTGGTGGAAGTGATGGAGATACCGCGCGAGGTAGAGTACGGCGCACTTCTTGCTAAGTACCTCATACTCCTTCTTAATTGTTACGAAGTACAAGTGCTGTACAGTTGCACAGTACCTTATAACCTTATACGGTCGTGCAATTTTTGCACAGTGATGTGCAGTGCAGTGCTGTACTTGTAGCACCGTAAATTGTATTACCGTATTCTTGTTGCACAGCGACTTGAGTTACGCAGCGCCCATATAAGTTATATATTACCTGCACACTGTGCACAGGTTACACAGTTACTACACAGGTTACACTGTACTTGTAAATATCGAACACCCTATACACACTGAACGCGCAGAATCCCCGCGCTCAGTGTCTGTGTTGATGGCATCAGTAAGGTACACTTCTGAGGTGCGTGTCACGAGCTGTAACTTGACGCCGTCTGTCTGACCAACTACTGCCGTCTGGGTGCCTTCATTCCGCCACCACAGCTTCTCCTGCATTGATAGCCATCCTTTGGTACTTCGACATCCTCCAACACGTGGAGAAGCTATTTTAGTTTAGAATTATACATAAACCGTAGCAAACTTGGCCACGGAGCTATAGTGTCGCGCTGAAACGGAAAATTTATTTGTTGTCCTTTTCATAATTTTTGATCCTGCGTAATGATCTAGTTTACATTTTTCCAGCATCTTTCTCTTCGGTCCGTACCTAGCATTCATTTCTTGTTATTATCTATTCAAACCAAGTTGAAAAATCAGTTCAAAAAGATGTTTGCATTACCTTATTGTGTATTATATTTGTGGAGACTTTAATCTTTTCACTGAAGCTTGATAACGATGTTATGCTTTTCTTGCTTTGCAGCAGTTTGCTGGACGAGAAGAACTCGCCGTCTTCCGAAAATCTCCAACACTTGTCGTCCATCTACACTCCAGCCCTCACTAAGGACACGTCAGGTCTGCCGGCAGACACCTTAGACCTGGCGGCAGATACTTCAGACTTGGCACCTGACACTTCAGACCTGGTGGCAGACCCCTTACATCTAAAGAGGGATACCTCAGACCTAAAGGAAGATGCTTCGTCCCAAGCGACAGGTGACTCCGATGACGACCACGACTCAACGGCGTCGTCTAAACTCACGGACGACGATGCTGAAAATAACGTAGCTTCTGTTGACGATTCAAATGAGGATGAGGGCAAAGAAGACACAGTGGGACTTGAAGACGTGCTGGATGGTCCTCCCGACGATGCCACGTCTGCTGATGTTGTCATTCGACCAAAAACTACCGTCGATGGCTGCGTTGCGTCCCACAGAGTTACTCTGGCCACGTCTGAGCTCAACGCCACTCAGATCCTCAGCCAGAGCCCCATCTTCAGGAAGAAGTTCACGTCCGATCAAAAAACTCCGACCAAGTCTCATCCTCCTGACCTACCTGCTGGCAACGGCTCCCTCAATGTCAGGTATGTCCATAGATGATTTGTCAGCTTACTGCGCCGCCTGCTGGCAACGGCTCCCTCAATGTCAGGTATGTTCATGGATGATTTGTCAGCTTACTGCGCCGCCTGCTGGCAACGGCTCCCTCAATGTCAGGTACGTCCATGAGTGTCAGTATCATAATAGACAATTTGCTGTACCTTCCTCGTAACGCTGTTAAGTTCCATATTTTGTTCTATGTGCGGTATTTTACTACAAGCGATTGTGCAGCACATTTCAGCCCTATATCTTGTTCAGGGTATCACAGCGTAGGAGGACAGTATAACATTTCAGAATGTTACTTTAATTTAAGGTCATATGGTAGGTATATGCTAATATGCCAGCTATTCCTTGACACATAGTGCTTACGTGTGTCACGGTCGCAGCCCAAACCGGGATATCAAAGTCTTATCTAAACAATGACGCGATCATTGCTCTTGGTTCGTGAGTCACACCTTCATCAGTAATGCAGTACGTGCGACTGCCACTGATACTGAGCTCACTCTCATGCTTACACTCTTAATCCTCACTTTATGTTATCAAAGAAAAAGTCTAGTCTAAATTGAATCAGAATATCAAAGTAAATAAATTAGATGTGGTAGAAGAATCCAAGCTTGAACGAGTTGAGACGTCCCAGGAAAACGTATATGAAGCGGTATGCGTGCATGCCGGAGCAGGGATGTTTTGGAACCTCTTGCATTGTGTGTTCAACACAAAGCTTTCTGAGTATGAGCTTTACTGTGGCTGCAAACCTCACGCCTGGTCGTTCAGGTGCAAGTATAGTTGCTTCCGATCGACTTGCTAACTAGTTACTTGTTACTTTTCTTACTTGCTACTTTTGTCACTTGTTACTTTTGTCCCTTTTTACTTGTACTACTTGTTACTATTTCCACTCATTAATAATTACTCTGGTTACTAGTTACACTCGTTACTAGTTGCATTCGTTACTAATTATCTTCATTCAAGTACGTTGCAGCGCTTGTTGTGACGTTCGTTCATGGATGTTGGCATTCTGCTCTCATTAATAAAAACTGCACTGTTGGCCCTACGTATTGTTGCGATGAATTCAATCTAAAATTCTTTTTAATTAATTATTCTAAATTATTTCAAAATGAAAAATTGCGAAGATATTCGGCATATTTTACTTTGTACGTTTCTGGATCGCATTTCTAACCGAGTGTTCTTTATAGATTAACTCACGAATAAACATTTACGAAACATTCTCCGGTTGCGTTGATTACGACTTTAAATGTAGCCCTGATCAAGTCCCGGACTAAAACTTTATGGAGATCAAACTTTCACTGTGTGGGGAAAAGTTACCGAAGAAAGTTCCCGCGTTACCGAAGAGTCAGAAAGTGATTGGTCACGTGTTGTAATTGGCATATTGTGTTATTGTCTTCAATGGTATTGAGTGCCCCATGAAGGAGCGTGACATTGAGGTGACGACCACGTATTTTGTCAGGACAATAGCGGCTGGTCCTACTGTCTCCTTCTCCTCCTCCTTGCACACAATGGCATCCTTGCTCCTCTTGTCATAGCTGTCGAGGATTTGACGAATAGAAGCAAGTCTGTCATTGTGGCGCGCTTCTAATAGCGCTTTCTTGTAATACAACGTACAACTTTATTGTCTGTGCACCATGACATGGCAGGAACATTCTCCACGCACAATACATGAACATGTTAATGATATCTCCTCATGCTCTACATATGGAGCAACAGAATGGAGCATTCGGTGTTGTTAAGTAACCCCTATACGTGGTATGGTATAGTCATAAAAATAGTAGACCGAGCTTAAATGTATGCTGTTCATTGCAGAACAATAATCTCGACGAAACATGAAAATACGGAGGAGACACTTTTGAACCTAATAAATATGAGACGCAAATAATTCCTAAATAAATTACGAATTTCGCAACACAAAAATTAAAAGATCTTGCAGAGGAGATTTGAAATATCGAGCAGAGACACGTTGCTGAGTGACACACAGCGTTGCTGTGGCACTCTGCTCATCCAGCTGCAGCGCTGCCCTTCGTGAGACTCCAAATGCGCAACGCTATCTCGACTCTGCGTAGAAATGCTCCCTCATTAACTTATTGCCTCGGCCAGAGACGAGGAATGATCGGCTCTGCGTAGAAATGCTCCCTCATTAACGTATTGCCTCGGCCAGAGACGAGGAATGACGTGCGTGTGGACGCGTTCTTCTTATAGACGTCCTGAGATGCGCTCGAGATGACGTAGTCCGCGCGAGTGCTCTATTGTTTGCCGCTCGTTTCCTGGTCGATCGCTGGACATCAGGCTTATTGCTATCTCTCATCTTATCCTATGTCGTCCGCACTTAGTAACATTGAAAACTTCCACTGCCACTGAACAATGGAGGTCGTCTCTGAATATTAACCGTGTGGCTGCACACAATCAATTATTCATGACGCACGAAACAATACAACCGTCGCTCCCGCTGGCGCCTCGTCTCTCAGGCTTCCTTTGAAAGACATCGCTCACCAGCTCACGTGTTGAGTTTTTTCTAATCATTCTCTAATTTTTATTAGATAAACTTGCTCATTTTCTCAGGCTTAAAAATGAATTAAGTTTAAAAAAACTCGATAATAAGATAGTTTGTTATATCTCCTATGAATTTTGCGCCTCTAGTGTTCGTTATATGACACCATTTCAACGGGTGAATTCTGCTGGGTTCAGTAAAACATTGAGTGTCATAGTACGTTCCTTCGTGCCGCCCCGTCGCACGCGGCTTGCCTCTCCGCCACCTCAAATGCGGAATGTGAAGATCTTTTGCCGTTGGTTTTTGCGTGGTCGGCGCTGCAGGCAGCAATACGACGCAACTCGACCTCTCCACTGACAGCAATGAGGTCGTCTGCTCTCTTACCGACCCTCTAGTTCTCGCCCTCATGAGGGCTCCCGAAGTCCATTGAATTATCGTCCTCGCAGGAGGAAGTTTCCTCGCCTCGGCAGTATGTGCGCTCTACTCGTTGGTTTTAAAAACTTGCGTGTTTTCATTTTTGTTTTTTTTATTTCTTTTTTTACGGGTTTTGTCTGGTGAACAAGTTTTGTGTCATCGGTAGAAATCCGTGACCTAATCGACGGTTTATGGGTAATTGTTCCTTGCTTGTAACAGGCAGTCGCTCGGTTCTTGCTCCAACATGACCAAAGTGAGGAATCTTGCTTATCATTATATAGACCGTGAAACGGCACACTGAACGAATTATGGGAAATGGTTGGTGATCTATGACTGCCTGTTACAAGCAATGAAAAATTACTCAACAACCGTCGATTCGGTCACGAATTTCTACCGATGATACAAAACTTGTTCACCAGAGAAAAAAACCGTTTCCTCGAGCGATCGAGTCTATTTCGTCGAATGATCGATTCTGTTCTCAAGCGATCTAGTCTGTTCCTTCAAGCGATCGAGACAGTCTTTCCAAGCAATAGACTGTTTTTGCTAGAGTTCATATCTGTTTTCTCGAGCGATCGAGTCTGTTGAATCTCTCAACTCCTCACCCAGCGGTTGTCGACTATCGTCTAACTATACTATGCTATAATTGCTATTGCATACTATACTATAGTTCTGGTTTCTAATTAACATAATATTGAAATGGCTTCCAGTTTTACACGAAGACATCGACTTCTAAGCAAGTTTATAATGAGCTTCGGTCACCTAATAATAATACAACTTATTGCTGAAATATTTTTCATGTCGTTTTCTTGCATGATCGCAACTAATTGAAGAAGTGCGATGGCTGCATCTGATTGATTACGGCCTTGAATAAGTGCGATGGCTGCATCTTCCTGATTTAAATATTTCGTGCTTTGGGTAAAGGACCTCAGTATGATGTCTTGCACCTCATCACGATAGTCGGTTGTGGTGAGGCCAGCTGCAGGGATGTGGTGAGGCCAGCTGCAGGGATGTGGTGAGGCCAGCTGCAGGGATGTGGTGAGGCCAGCTGCAGCGATGTGGTGAGGCCAGCTGCTGGGATGCGGTGAGGCCAGCTGCAGCGATGTGGTGAGGCCAGCTGCTGGGATGCGGTGAGGCCAGCTGCTGCTCCACTAAGGATGTTGCTGTTGATAAGACAGTCCGGAACGGAAGCAACCTCCTGCGTCGCTTGCTTCCAGTTCCCATGCTCTATTGATGTCTCGTTTATGACACTTTTTCGTCATTTAGTAACGGGATATTTTATATCTACTTGATGTGGTCAGTGGTCTGAAACGCTGTTTTTTGAATGGGCTGTGCTAAGACTCCAACGCCTGAGTGCCAGTGTTTGTCCGTCGTGCCAAAATGTGGTGTCATAGTATGTGTCCGTATTGTCAGTATGTGCTTATGTTACAGAAACATCTATATGGAGTTGCTTCAGGAAGTGCAAGTGATGGCATGTTTGTGTTTTGAAAGTGTCAACACGAAACGGTAAAAACGTATGAATATGTGAACTGAATTCAGCTCAGAGCTGACAGGTGTCAGCGCTCAGTACACAGTTATCCTCTGTGCCTCTTACCCTCGTTGCTTTTGTTGCCCTCATTAGTACTGTTACCCTCTCGCAGCTCATTCGCTTTTGGTATTTTCTCTCTTGGTATTTTTTGTGGTTGCGCAGATGTGGTGGTGATCGTACGACTGGTGATGGTGAGGAATGATGATGATGTAGTGGTAGTATTTGAAGTAGTGATGTTGTGGTGATGATAGTGCAGTAGCGGCGTTACAGTGGTGGTAGTGATGGAGAACTGATGGCATGGTGGTGAGGCCAGAAGGGATCACGTGGCTGTGTGGCTGTAGCTGAGGGCGGGGGGGGAGCGGAGGAAGGCACTACCCCCCCTCCCCTACCCCCTCAGCTGATCGCTAGACTCGGGTCCTGCCGGTGCAGGTGTCACTAGCGCCTGAGCCGCGCTCGCGGGAGGTGAGCAGTGCTCGAGCTCTGCGCTGCTTCTCGACTGTACGAACATCTTCGTGATTTTTCTCGCGGTATTTTATACACAGCGTTTACTC